TGGGGGCGTAATAATGTGACGGTCAATTCCACTATTTGTTGGTAAAAGAGTAGTCCAAGAGTTGATGGTGGGTGGTGATGACTAGCTGTCTTCCCTCTAGTCTTACACTGCTAAATTAGGGACGGCTAGCGCAGATAGCCCTCATGTAGCTTTGCGCTAAATTCAAAACAAACAAACAAACCATAAAAAAGGGGGAATATTTAGGAGATATTAATGATATTTCTTTAAGTATGCTAACTGCAGTGAACGAAACATTGCTTATACTTCAAGGCTATTCAAAAGTCATATCTCAGTTGGGAGCACACAGAAGGTGGGAAACTGTATCACAAATATTCTACATGTATGTGTTAACTACAGACTATGAAGCAAAGATCTGTTCTTTGACTTGTTTCTACGTGGTCACTAGTGCTCAGAAGGTAAGGACTGCAAATTCCTTTAACATATTGTTTTATCAGTTTCTTGTTCATCACTTGAAACCAACTGCTGATTTCCTAGGAACTTTCTGACAACCTTATTTTTTCTAGCTGCATGTTTTGCTTGCAAGTATCTTATGGTGGGACATACCTAATGTCAATTATTATGAAATGCAACTACTTCACATATTCTTGTGTACTCTGTAGTGCATCTGCACTGACTTGAGAGTCATACATGAGATCTACTGGGACCTTCTCTTCTTGCATAATCATGAAGGGATTTGGAGAAAAACCAATTGACTGTTCTTCATTTGCATCATGACAAACTGTGGTTTAATCAGGGTTCACAAACAGTTTAGCAAGCATACACACACTTGATTGTCTGCACTGCTATTTAGCCAACCCATCACATTAAGAATGATAGGGTGAGGTGTATGCTTCCTATACAATACCATTTTACACAACTCTTCAAACAACTGGCTATTGAAGTAGGCTTATTGATCTAAGTGGTTGTATCCAGATGTTTAAAATCATCTTGTCCATTGTTCATTAAACACAACAGTGATGACTGTACTAATATATTGATCAAAGCTTCAGCCAGGTAGGTGAGGTAAGTAGTAACAACCAACACATATTGATTACTTCTCAATTTGGGGGCAAAGGATCAAATGTATTTATGGTAACTCTCTCTCTCTGGTGAAGAACCAACAACTCTTCTGAAGTTTTTCAAACATGGCATTGTCTGCCTATATGATACCTTGTCTACACATCAACTGTATATGACACTCAACTAGTTCCCTCTAGTCCTTGCATCATTCAAAATCTCAACTGCATCTTGCCTAAGAGCTTTGATAATCACTAGCTGCATTATGTCTCATCAGTTCATAATGGTGGTATGGCATGCCTACATTCACTTATAACTGACTATACAAATTCAAATGTAATGTGAATCAGTACTAAATTTTTGAGTTTTTAACAGTTGCACCTCACCTTGCTGCACAAAAATTAACACCAAATCAGTGATTGGGTCTTTAAATTGCTTTTCATTATTCCAGCTGAAAGCTGAACAGCCAAGTGTCTATAATTACAGATTAGCACTAATACAACAGAAGAATTCAAAAAGATAACTGCATGTGCAACCTCCTTTCCAGACTTAAAACTGTTTTGTACTTTGATTATCACTACAGTAAACAGTTGCAATGCACTAGTTTGCATCTATAGCACACCAGAGAACATCACTTAACACATTTAGTGGTATTATTACCTCCTCAACATTCACGTGCAGTCCACTGTTCTTAAACCCACTATGATTAGCATGGGATGTGTTTTCTGCAGATATACAGTTCACTCATTACAATTGGTTGATAATTTATACAGCAGGCCATTTGTTAGACATCAATGCATGAAATAAGTTCAACAACAACTACCTTTATTCAGTGAATAACATTACCAAAACAAAGATATTTACCCCTTTACTCACATCTAGCTGTTGAATATGATGGCTCCTCAGATTCTGATACAGGGCTAAGTTTATATAAAGTCCTTACTGATATAGTCACTGTAGATGTAACTTTGCATTCATATGTTATTAAAATCACTTATGCAAAGCAAGTCGATCACCATAACATTAAGTGCAAGTTGGTTGCTGTTCTCCTGCTGGATCCAACTCGGGTTCCACTAGTTTAAACTTTCCAGAGCAACTACAACCACATATTTCCATAAAGCTTCTGCATTTCTTGTGGCATTAATCTGAATATAAAATGCACCTTATAGTCCTGGTTTGCTGCAAAATACCAAAATTAATTAATCTAGCAACCAAGTAAGATATTCTTCTCTTAACCTTTGGCATCTTCAGGAGCCTAATTCTTGCTGCATAGGTGATACAAACACAGCATGTGTGCCAAGCAAGCCCTGTTGTGTCACTTAGAATCATGATGGCTGCATTATTTTGTGGTATCTGATCCAATGGATGTTTTATTTTATTCTTGGGGCTATCACAGACCTTGGGGGCAGTTTTGGAGTAGACTGCACAGTTGCAATTGATACTTATGCAGATTTCTTCTGCCTGAAGGTACAATTTGACGTGAACACCCCAAACCATGTCACAACAGAAATATATATTCCAATAGGAATGAGATGTTATTAAAAATTCTGTAGTAACACAAGAATTTGCCATATAGCCTCTGATTAATCATGTTGATTAATGTCTCACTACAACCAGCAGGAGACATGCACGTTTTCTCCTGCAACATCTTTAGATCTGGGAATATAAGTAGTTAACTTCTTATAAAGCTCTCATCTCCGAGCCTTGAGCCCTACAACCATATGGTTTGCTAATTTCTCAAAAGGGTCGGAAATGTGGTACAATCTGCTGATAACAATGTCCCACTTATTGAATTGCTCCTTGTCTAAATGGTGATGAGTGCTAGACCATCTAGACTCAGCAGGAAATAATGCACCACCTGTACCTGAGTCTATCCATTCCAGGAGAGAACCTACATGAAATGTTCACAGAAAAATTCCAAATGCTCTAGCCACCCGAAAGCTAACTTATTACACATCATCACCATTGTAAGATAGTGGTACAGATAAATTCTTGCTCCAAAACAAAGATATTTACCTCTCTACTCGCATCTAGTTGGTGAATATGGTGGATCCTTTGTTCCAATGCGATATCTTACCTCCTTTTACAAATAGCTTTTCTCGATTTATACTGCCCTCTATATGAACAAATTTTCTTTTGCCACTAGCCTTGATACTCCCACTTACCCTCACGTAAGACATCATGTGAATAATCATACAGCAACTCCCCACCAATAGGAATACAGCATAACTCCCATCATCACTTGTGTTTTCTGTTCTGTGCAGCCCGTAATCACTTCTCAATTGGAAGTCTCACTGACAGGACGTGTTTTCAGACTGAAAATTTAGTTAATTGATCAAGTTTACTGTTTCTTATTTGGCTACATTTTTTTCTACCTTACATTTTCGAATTTTTACTGTTTTGCGAATTCCGTTTGGAGAACAATTTTTTTTCTTCCTTTTCTTTGTAGGGTCCTTTGTCACATATTTGGATCGTCCTCGCTGGAGAGTGTTGCATGATCAATTGTACTTAAAACTGTGCTGTAAGACATCTGTGTCAAATATATCTACCATTGAGATGAGGTGTTCTGCTAAGCTGTTTGCAGGTATTCCTTGTGGTATTTTGCTTCATAAAAATGTTCAGTCCATGTACCATTCTTCCAGACTCTCCACTGCATTGTCCTTCCTTCATCTAGTGGAGTACAGGAGTCCTTACCACTTACCAGTTCCTAGCTGCTGGGGTGGGAAACCATAGAGGCTTCTTCCTGAGTGGGAGTGAGCACACCGAGTTAAGAGTAGGATGATAGTGTTTTTCCGGCATTGACGCCCATCCTAACATGCTGTCGGGTATTGGATGATGCATTCTGCCAGCATGCAGTTTGCCCCTCCAGCTGAGGCCCCCTCCTCCCTACCACCTCCCAGATGTTGGTTCTTGGCAGATGTGGTAATGGTTGGAGCTGAACCAACCACATATGTCCTAACTTGTGTGGACAGATGCCCTCCTACTTCTACCAGGGACTGGATGATACATTCTCAATGCCACCTGGCGATGAACTGTAGATGCATCACCACTTTGCTGTCCACCTTCCTGCTGTACCCTGGATGTCGGTTCCCAGCGAATATGATGCTGGTTGTGTTGGATGGGTACACATGATTATGTGGAGGGGTCTCTCCTGTAATTCCGGCCTTATTGCAACACTTTCACATGGATGAAGAGCATAACTGGCTCAGAAGTGATGCAGTTTTCCACAGGGGTGTTTCCTTCCGTTTATTCACACACCCTATGGTCTTCTTTTGGGCAGTTTCTAAAGGGGAATCATTTTCTCACCAGATTCTAGCTACTTGTGAGTGGATGTGAGGTATCATATCGGAAGTGAACATTTTCCAACATAGAAGA